TTCTTACTATTAGCAGCCATTTCCAAAATTCATTCAGCACCGTCTTAAATTTAACCAAAATAATAAACCTTATTTCTATTTGCATAATTTTGATTCCTATAAATATGTGTGTAAAGTATTTCTAATAAAATCTCAAACATAAATTTTGTAATAAAAAAAAGCTCCCACTCCTTGTAGAAACCAAACTCTCCAACTTCCCAACTATCAGTCATATAGTCTTTGGATACCAACTGATTAACCTGAAGCTTAAGCACAGGCTGCTCTAAATACAAATGCATTGTATTAAAAAATATATATATTTAACTTACCTTTAGCCTAATAGGTCAGAGCTGAGAGATACTTCAATAAAATGGCTACGACTCTTTTTACAGCTGAATACCATTGGCTTTGAGAAAACAATCGTGGAATTTAAACCTTTGATCTTTATGGTATAAAATCTTTAATTCCTAACCACAACATAACTTCAGGAAGCAAACTGGCAAAGCGCCTTGGGTCCTGGTTGAAAAGAGACTTATCCATCTCCAATCGTTGAAGGCTACCATTGAGCAATTTTGAGAGAAATTTTGGAATCATCTTTACAGCAACTCCTATGGTAGGTTGGATTATAAAGGGAATTCAAATGGGCAACTGTTTTAGGAATGAAGTTGGAGACTCTAGGAAAATAATCCAGCCATTTCATCAAAGAATGCCTCAGCACTGCCCAAAATGGCAACAGCACCTATGATCTAAATGAAAATGGGATTACATGTTAAGGAAACAGACTTACCCCATTCCACGACCCATGCCTCTGCCACGATGCATCATTCCTCCACGGTCAAAGCCATCCCTTCCCCTGTTGTCTCCACCTCCAGGGTACCTTCCAGGCTCTGCACCTGGATAGCCAGAACCTCCCCCTTGACCATCCTGTCTGTAATTATCTACCAAAGAGCAACATGACAGAATTAATGCCGATAGCCCCAAATGTTTGCAGCCATATTAAAGATTTTCATTGCGCTCAATTCCTTCATTTTCTCGAATGAATGCGACTTCTCACTAGAAGTAGGACTGGGCAATATGGAACAATGATAATATCACTATTTTGAAGATAAATGGAGATATACAATATCTCTGTACATTTTACTTTTCAGAAATTAATCATAACGCCTCAGAGTCAAAGCATCATAAATCATTGCCACTTACTGTATGGGCCAGACTGGTTGTAACCGGGTGGTCCACCTTGCTGGTTGTATTGATTAGCTGCTGGTTGGCCGTAAGAACCAGCACCCTGAGGAGGGTAAGCTGGAGGAGCTTGTTGCTGCTGTGGTGTCTGCTGTTGGTAGCCCTGTTGCTGGTTGTAGCCGGCCTGCTGACCCTGGTATCCAGGCTGCTGCTGTCCATAAGACGTTGCTTGGGAGTAGGAGCTTTGATTGTAGCCAGCAGCTGGTTGACTGTTAGCACTGCAATTAGAAAAAGTCAATAAACAAAGAACTACAAAAAACAAAAAAAACAACAGCATAGAAACGGTTGTTTACAGAGTTTTTATGCTGTTAAAACAGAATTTGTACCTTTGAGGTGCAGAAGGTGCAGCCTGTTGACCATACCCAGGGTAGGCAGATTGGGCAGTGTACCCTGGTTGAGAGCCATAAGATTGAGAGGCAGCAGGAGCAGCGGCCGCAGCAGCAGCTGGGGTGCTTTCATAACCACTGGCCCCATAACCCTGGGCTGACTGTGTATAGCCATGAGCAGTGGACTGGGCAGGTGGATATCCAGCTGGAAACAGAAAAAAAAAAAATGCCTTTAGAAACGTGGACTTAGAATGATGTCAGTATACATGTTCGAAAAAAAAAAAATCTTTAAGTATCTAGAAAAGTTAAAAAAAAATAAATAAAAAAAATCACCTGCTGGCTGCTGGCCATATGTTGATCCATATTGTGTTTGCTGTTGAGGATATGCTCCAGCAGCAGGGGTGGTCTGAGTATAACTGCTATCAGCAGCAGCTGCAGCAGGTTGGGTGTATGAGCCATAATTCTGCTGGCCATAGCCTTGCTGTAAGTGACATGACAGAATCAACATTGTTGAACTGCTAAGAATTTCAGTAGAATTTCTGAATGACTATCAACCAACAATGGTGTCAACTATTCATTTTAGTCTTACCTGAGCTGACTGGCCATAAGTCTGTGATGGCTGAGCAGCATAGGAAGCATACCTGCAGGAAAGAGAAGTAAAGACTTTAGTTTTTTTAATCCCCAAATCTAGTGACTCCTCTTACCTCTGGATTGTAAAGAAATCCAGAGTGAATCCAAGTGGGTTACTTCTCATGCTTAGAGTTAATTTGCAAGCTTAAAAGACTCATGTTTTCAATACAGCAAATTCTGATTATGTATGAGCTTTTGCTCCAATAAATCATAATTACCAGCTCCTTTGTGAATAATTCTATATACTGATAATTCATTATGCTTCTGGGCAACAATATTACTTTGGGTTGGTGCCCATTAATTTATAAATTATATATAACATAAATTAATACATAATTTTTTTATACTCTTTTCAGTGTATAAGTCCTTATTGTGTGACCACTTCTGCAGCCTTTTGCTGCTGTAACATCACATTTACCCCATTGTGGGATAATTAAGGGATTTTCAATACCATTATCAATGAGTATAACTCACGTTTAATATTTCGAGCTAATCATCTAGATAAGGGGTGCTCAAGTCCAGTCCTATAGAGCTACCATCTAACTTTTAGATGCATCTCTTCTGTAGCACATCTGAATCTAAAGCCTCAATCCCTTCATTTAGCTCAGCATAGTTGTGGTGACGAGCCACTCATTTGATTCAAGTGTGTTAAAAATGGTTGCATCAAAAAGTTACAGGATAGTAGCTCTTAAGGGCTGGACTTCAGCACCCCTGATCTAGATACAAATCGTCCAAATTGAAGACATGCATTAGCGTTCAGATGCTCGAAAGAAAAATGTATTACGCATCAACGCCTGCAATTTATTAAACACCGGAATCCCTATGCATACATTCAAAGAAACCATATTGGTCAACTTTACTGGACCTTTAAAAAAAAAAAAAAAAAGACACGAAAGTCTTATTAGTCTCTTGAACCAAACGTCAATAAACATATTTCAACGTTAATATCAAGTGGACTTCAAAATCTTACCCCTGCTGGGCACCACTCTGGTTGTAGGAGCTGTAATCTGTGAATAGAAAGGATAAATAAATCAGAAAGATTTAAAATAAAAAAAAAACAGGATTTGCGCGCGCGAGCCACTCATTCCTTTTTCTACAGGCCTGTTGTTAGGCCTTCACTGGAAATATGCTAACTGACGAGCTAACGAAACCTTGCATGAACGACCCCTCAATGAACCAAAGGACCGAAATGCACTAACGCAGTTTACACGAGCATATTAATATAGCTTAGTTTAGCTGTATTTTTATTAAATAAAAATGTCAACTTGATAACAAATCCTAATGCCTCGAGAAGCAAACGTTAGGCCTTCCACGCAGCGTGGTACACGCTCATTGTAAAGCAATATTGATCAAAAACTAAATTAAACGATTGTATGACTTAAACATTTACATGTACGATAACTTGATAAACCTGATACTTAAATCTAATTATAAAAAAATACGAAAGCCGTATTTCTTTTTTTTCACTCACCGGGTGCAGACGCCATTTTGAGCGAGTCTGTGGGAACCGACAAGATGCTGCTGACTGAAGAAGGGGAGGTAACCTCTCGCCAAAGAAACCACGAAGTCCCGCGATATCAAGGTAAACGTGACGCAATAATCTTCCTCAATTTTAAATTTATTTTATTTTATTTTTTGTGGGGGCCACTGGGGAGGGGGAAAAAAGTTAACTGATTTTTTAATTTTATTGAAGTTTAATATGGGAAAAAAGTCTGACTTTAATTTCAGAATTCTGACTTTTTTTTTTTACTTTGTTATTTTCACAGCACCCTCATCCACCATCCTTTTGTTTGTTTATTGCTTGCACCTCTTGTTATCAAATAAATTATAATTTAATAAGAACATACCGGAATTTTAAAGGACGTGTGGGAATAGAAATATATATACCAGAGATTAAAATACACATTTCTACAAGAATATCAGATCAAGTATCTATTTTCACAGCAGAAATGTTGGCAGTTATATTAACCTTACAATGGGTAGAGGAGGTTAGACCAGACAGGGTGCTGGTATGAATAGATACAAAAGCAATTTTAGAAAGTATTCAGGGAGAAGGAAATAATAAAATAGTATAATAAAATAATAATAAAATAATAAAATAGAAATAGTAAAAGGC